TAATTAAAATTGAGTTTCTTATTAATGTTGTTATTATTGTTGTTGGATCATATATAGTCTCATTATGGATAACTTGATTTTTTTAAAGGCATAAAGACCTGGTAATACTCATTTTAAGCCGTTATATATACTATCAATTTTTTTTAAATTATTCTTGAATATAACTTTATGTGTTTGTTGTTGTGGATGTTGTTGTTGTTGTCATTTAGATTAATAGGAAGAGGGGATAAGGCCCGGGAAACTCTCTTTTTTAAGTTGTTATGCTGTCGAAATTATTTCAATGGCTAGCATTAAAATATAATTATTAGTTTTAAACAAGATTAAAGAGGGAATGTGCAAACATGTGGTTAGTGACTTATTGACTAATTGATCTTTGTATCTAATTCTCCCACTATCTAGGAGTAGTCAAAGTCACTAATCATATTTCCTCTTAATCTTTCTAGGAATTATGGATAAGGAATGGATGTCTGTCAATCGTCTATCCAAGGAATATTGGGATGGGGTGGCAAATTTTGTTAAGCTTGCAGTTAAGCATGCGGAGGATCCTACTAGGATTGTTTGCCCATGTTTAAAGTGTGGTCTTGTGAAGCGGGTTAGTCCAGATACTTGTGAAGAACACCTCGTGATTAATGGGATGGATCAAAGTTACAAGTGTTGGACAATGCATGGAGAGACAAGAGATGATATTGGTTGCAGCCAGAAGCATAGTGAAAGCTGTGCATCATCTCCTGATGATTTTGACACATGCACACTTGAGGAAGATTGTCTTGAACAGATGGCCAAAGCAGTTGAAGAGGACCTCGAGGATTATCCAGAAATGTTTGAGAAGTTGAAAAGTGATGCGGAGACACCGTTGTATGCTGGTTGTAGTGCATCAAAGTTGTCAGCAGTGTTAAAATTGTACAACATGAAGGCAAAACATGGATGGAGTGATGCAAGCTTTACTGAGTTGCTTGGGTATTTGAAAGTAGAATTACTTCCTAAGGAAAATGAGCTTCCTTGTCGAACATATGACGCAAAACAAGTATTGCGATCAATTGGCATGAGTTATGAAAAGATACACTCGTGCCCTAATGATTGCCTTTTATTTCGGAATGAATATGCATCGTTAACCGAGTGTCCGAAGTGTAATGCCTCACGCTACAAGCAGAACGGATCAAGTCCCGTGAAGGCACTATGGTATTTTCCAATCGTGCCTAGATTTAGACGCATGTATAGCAGTGCAGAAATTGTGAAAAACTTAACATGGCATGCGGATGAAAGGATAAAAGATGGCATGCTTCGTCATCCTGCTGATTCTCCACAATGGAGAAAGATTGATTATGAGTACCCTGAATTTGGGGAAGAGAGTAGGAATCTACGCCTTGCATTGTCTACCGACGGGATGAATCCTCATGGGATTCAAAGTAGTAGCCACAGCACTTGGCCAGTCATTTTGGTGATTTATAACCTTCCTCCATGGCTTTGCATGAAGCGCAAGTATATGATGTTGTCCATGCTAATTGCGGGACCCAAGCAACCTGGGAATGACATAGACATATATTTGGCTCCTCTAATTGATGACTTGAAGATCATGTGGGAGTCAGGTATAGAGGTATATGATGGGTATAGAGAAGAAAGATTTAATTTAAGAGCTATGCTCTTCGGTACAATCAATGACTTTCCTGCTTATGGCAATCTGTCAGGGTATAGCATTAAAGGGCAACTTGGATGCCCTATTTGTGAAGAGGGAACACATTCTATAAGGCTTCAACATGGGATGAAGAATGTTTACCTCGGCCACCGTAGGTTTTTACACCAAGAACATCATTATCGGCGGTTGAGAAAAGCGTTCAATGGAAATCCAGAAGAAGGTAAGACACCTTTGCCGTTAACTGGTGATGAGTTGTTTGAGAAGATTAAGGATTTGGATATTGAATTTGGCAAACCATTTGCAAGGCACCTTGGGACAACCGGATGGAAGAAGAGATCTATTTTCTTTGAACTCCCTTATTGGACCACCTTGGATGTTCGGCATTTTCTTGATGTCATGCATATTGAAAAAAATGTCTGTGAGAGTCTTATTGGGACTTTACTCCAAGTGTCAGGAAAAACAAAAGATGGCATAAAAGCAAGGTTGGACATGGTCTCTTTAGGAATAAGAGAAGAATTAGCACCCCAAGATAAGGGGAACCGTACCTTTCTCCCTCCGGCAGCTTATACGCTATCTAAGAAAGAGAAAACTGCATTTTGTGAGTTCCTTAATGTAGTTAAAGTTCCTGAGGGTTACTCTTCAAATATAAAAAATATTGTATCAATGAAAGATTTGAAGTTGAAGGGCTTAAAGTCTCACGATTGCCATGTTTTAATGGAGGATTTCATTCCAGTTGCTATACGTGCAATTTTACCCCTTAAAGTACGAGGGACGATCACTAAGTTATGTTTGTTTTTTAAGTCCATTTGCAGTAAAGTGATTAACCCACATAAGTTGCCAAGGTTGCAAGCTCGAATTGTATTAACACTGTGTGAGCTTGAGATGTATTTTCCACCGGCATTCTTTGATATTATGATCCACCTAACTGTTCACTTGGTTAGGGAGGTTCAAATGTGTGGGCCTGCTTATTTAAGATGGATGTATCCTATTGAGCGCTATATGAAGATTTTGAAAGGCTATGTGAAAAATTGAAGTCGACCGGAGGGTTGTATTGTTGAACGGTATATTTGTGAAGAGGCTGTTGACTTTTGTACTGAGTACCTGAGTCATATTAGCTATGTTGGACTTCCAAAGTCTCGACATATGGGTAGAATAGTGTACAGTGGGAGCAAGCCCACTTATATGTGTTGCACAACACTGAAGAGGTTGAAGAGTATGTAGACAAGCATATGGCTGAACTTAGGAGGGACAATCTCAATAAATCAGAAATTTGGTATGCTAGGGAACACAACAAAACTTTTACAAGATGGTTTAAGGAGCACATTCTTCAAAAGTTAAATGTTGATTCCAATTCAGTTTCTAACAAATTGAGATGGTTAGCTAACGGTCCAAGCAGACAGGCCATTTCTTACACTGCTTACCTTGTCAACGGATACACATTTTATACAAGGGAGCAAGATGATAGGAGCACAATGCAAAATAGTGGTGTAACTCTTGTAGCTCATTCCATGCATATTTCCAGCACTAAGGATAAAAATCCTATCTATGCAAACATGTCATACTTTGGTGTAATTGAGCATATATGGGATTTAGATTACATATCCTTTCGAGTTCCAGTCTTTGGGTGCAAGTGGATTGATCGAAAAAATGGCTTGAAATTTGATTACCAATTTGGCTTTGTACAAGTCAATTTAAACAAGGAAGGGTATAAGGATGAGCCTTTTATTTTAGCGCAACAAGCCAAACAAGTGTTTTATGTCCCTGACCCTGCTAATAAGGGGTGGTCTATTCTTATGTTACATGAAAAAATAAATGAAAATGTAGCAATTGAAGATGACCCATTCGAAGGGACATCAAATCAAAGTAACGACACTGTTGATGAAGCTCTATACATGAGAAATGATCACAATGAAGGCATTTGGATTTCAAAGAGGGGTAAATTATTTCAGCATAAGAAGAAAATATTTCAAGGAGGGGGAAGTAAAAAACCCAAGTCAAGGAAACGAAAAAGAGCAACTTGAACATGTAACCTTTGAATTAATTATGCCATTTTTGTTTCATGTTTGAATTAATATAGTCGATTATATTTGAATTAATCATGGTTGATTAATTTTTTGAATTAATCATGGTTGATTAATTTTGGAATTTTATTGTGTTACAGGTAAATGGCTTCAGATTCTGAGTCCACTGAAATCCCTCCATCAGATCCCGCTACAACTTTTACTGATGCTCCGTTGTCACAAAAAAAATTGTAATACGAGGCCTAACAATAATGGAAGAAGTCACAAAAACAAGAGCAGCAGGGAAAAAAATATCAGTGCAGTGGAACAAGAAAGGCCAAGCCATCAAATCTGCAAAGTTTATAAGTTATATTGGGGTTGTGGCAAAGACAACTGTACCTATCACGCAGAAATCTTGGCGCAAAGTTGATCAAGCCACGAAGGACATTGTTTGGGAGACTGTATCTGTAAGTTGCATTTGACTAAGTTATATTCTATTATAATATTATAAATTGATGCACCTAACATATTTATTTTATTTTACAGTCAGGATTTGAAATAGACGAGAGCAAGAAGGATTTTGTCCTTCAAAAGGCTGGGAGGGCATTACGGTCTTTCAGACATTTTATTACACAAAAATATTTGAAAGACCCTGATGCTGAATTTGTAGCCCAAGTTCCTCCCCTATTACAGCCTTTAGTAAAGCAAGAAGATTGGGATGCTTTTGTTGTCTCTCTCGCGAGAAGGAATTTAAGGTATTTATGTTTCTAAAATTTAAATTTTAGTGCCTTTTATTGAATATATCTATGTGTACTAACAGGATATTTTTGTTATTGATTAAAGGAACTGAGCGCCCAAAATAAGAAGAGAGTGGCCAAGAATGAATACCCTTACAGAGCAGGGAGGTTAGGGTATGCAGGCGTGGAGCAGAAAGAAGTTGAGGCTGAGGGATCGGATGTTACTATATCCCGCCAAAGACTCTGGGCATTGGCACGAACAAATAAAGATGGAGTGATTGACAACCCTCGTGTGAAAGAGGTTGCTGAAAAAATTGTAAGTGTTATTCTTATCTATCAATTAATAAATGATTATTAAAAGGCATACTAATTAGCTCTACTTTTCACAGGATTCCCTCTCTCAAGAAGTATCACAGGGCAAGCTTCTGAGCATGAGGATATCTTAGCTAGAGCGTTGGGGACCCCTGACCACCCTGGTCGTGTTAGGGGTGTTGGCTTGGTGTCACAAAGAAGCAATACTTTGGCAAGATTAAGAAGCGAACATCGGCTTCTTCATCCGAGGTCCAAGAGTTGAGAGAAGAGCAAGCTGTTATGAAGCAACAGCTAGAAGCCCAAGCAAAGTTAATTGACATGCTATTGAAGGGCCAGATCCCTGGGAGGCTTTTGGGTGACGTTAGCCCCAGCGGAAAAGATAGCTGCACAGTCCCTTCAGACAAAATACCCGAGGTAATGCATTTTCTCTTTTAAATTTGCTCAACTAATTTTTTATCTAAACAACTAACATTCTTCATTTATTTAGGGCGAGAATGACTGCAACTGTTTAGCAGACAATCCGTCACGCAAAGTAGTTGCAACGGGACGCGTGTATAACATTGCCGGGGACACAATCCATAACCTTCCCCTCCCGCCCGATTGCATTAGGGTTTCCTTGCTTGTTGCAATCGACCCCAAGTATCCATTACCTTATCCTACCGATGAGATGCAGACGGTAGGAGATGCGTTGGGGAGCTTCGTTGCATGGCCCAGCCACCTTGTTATGGTTGGTACACCAAAGCCGACAAAGGACCCAAAGCCGCCAAAGGACCCCTTGCCACCAAAGAAAAAGGTATATATGATTTATATAATTATTTAAAATCTTTAATATATATATGTCTAACTTTTTCATTGTATAGCCAAGGGGGAAAAGCAAATTGAAGGATAAGGTGTCGGGCCATACTAAAGAGTCAGTCACGGTTTCGCAACATGCAGTGCCTATGCCTGTTGTAGAAAACAAATTTCGTGACTCTCTTGAGACCTATGCTTCGGCTACGAGGATGATTCGTCAAGAGCCGATAGGGGATATCATTAATTTTGACGATGGGCTATTTGGTAGAGCATCATTTGAAGTCGTTCGGGATGAAATTTTGAATGAAATCCTCAAGCACGATATGGCAGCACTAGTTTGATGACTTTCTACATGAGGTAATTCTTCAACATTTATTAGTTAATTTCTTGAATTATTTATGTGTGTGAGTATGCAAGCATATTAACTTGTATATTTTTTCACCCAAGTCACCTTTATACCTCATTCGTGGTTCCTGGTGGCCTCGAGTCAAAGATCAAGCTGGTTAATCCTCATGATGTCTCCCCACAATAATATTACAAAGGAAGCCCTTGAAAATCAAGCAAGAATGCTTTCGGATCAATTTCGAGAAAGGGGAGCAGTGAAGGATACTTTATTTCTCGCTCCTTACTGCTAAGGGTGAGTTGTTAATATTTGTTACGAGTAAATATTTTTTTATATTTATTTGTTTGGTAACATGTGCTGTTTCTTGTTAGGGGACACTGGATGCTTATTGTGGTTAATCCCATTGCTCCAACAATATGGTATCTCGATCCCCTTAATGGAGAGCCAAGCAATAGGGAAGATATGGTGGTACTTTTTAATGAGTAAGTTAGATTTTTTTACTTGTTATTTCTTTTTAATTTTAGTTTTCATTCATATATATTTCTCACATTCATCCCATAATTCCTTCTTAGAGCTGTGGTGTTGTATCGCACTGCGACCGACATGACTGTGTCCCCTAAGATGAGGGCATTTAAATCTTAGAGAAATGGGTCACTGTTAAGGTATTCATTTAATTGGTCAAGTTTTTAATCAAGAAATTATCTCATTATATTTTGCAATTTCATTGATGTGTTTTTTTATAGTGTCCATTCCAGCCAGATCAGAGCAATGACTGTGGTTATTGCTTGATGAAGTTCATGAAGGACATTATCACTCATGCCCCTACCATATTATCTAACAAGGTATATATATGAAATTTAATTACACTTCAATTATAAATTTTAAACAATTTTAATTAGCTACCTATTAACTTGAAATTGTTGTAACTATTTGCTTACAGTACTTCGAGGATGTCTATTGCGTTCGTTATATGACTGCACATGTAGAAGAGGTCCTTGAAGAGGTGGCCCAATGTGTTTTCAATATGTGGGTAGCAATAGTAGTTAGGCCGGTACAATAGTTAGTTACATTTATATACATTTTTAGGCCAATTTTTATGGGATAGGCCACTTAATTTTGAAACATTAGTTTGCAAATAAGTTTAGATTTTAAGGTTAAATGTATATGAATTTTTATGTTAATTAGATAGGAGATACTATTACAAACATTCATTATATTACATTATTTTCGTTGCTGGCTGGCTGTTTTTTATCTTTATCTGTATCTTTATACAGGGGGCTGCTTTAAAAGCAGCTACCATATAAAAAAAATTATGTCATTAATATTTGACGGTTATTTCAAAATAACCGTCAAGTATCAATATAGTTGACGCTTGTTTCAAAACAAGCATCAAGTATTTGTAAATACTTGATGGTTATAAGGAAACAAGCGTCAAGTATTTATGGCCAAAAGAACATTGGCCATAAAACAAGCGTCAAGTATTTATGCTGAAAAGTACATATTTACTTCATATATTTGACGGTTGTTTTCAAATAACCGTCAAGTATAAGATTAATACTTGAGGTTTTTAACCGTCAAGTATTATTTCTTTAATATATCTCGCACCCTTACTTGACGGTTAAAAACCATCAACTATTGGGAAAAATAAGCATCAAGTATGGGTATTTTCTGTGGTAGTGGCTACAATGATGTTTTCTGAATAATGCTGCCCTAGGATAAAGCTACATTGATTCAAAGATATAATTTGAAGGAGAAAGGTTTGAAGTCACTTTGAAATCACCTTAGTTATAATTTTGTAAATCATATTACACAAACTTAGAGGTCTCAAGTCCCTAAGTGACTTTAGGGGGGTTCTTCTTCGAGATAAGAACAATAAATGTACTATGAATGCCATTAATAGTATGAGATAGATTTTCCAATCCTATCCCATTGATGCTAAAAAAAGAGCATTAAATCCATCGGCCCAGGTGATTTGAGAGGCCCCATATCAAACAGAGCTTCTTTTATTTTCCATTCATAAAACCTAGCAGCACATTGCTTCAAACTAGATTGATCAAATGGAGGATAAGAAATATCACTAACAACAAGAACTATATCTTCCTTCTCTTCTTAAAACAAGGAGGAAAAATAATTAGCAGTCATATTTTTAATGAGTTCCTGGTCATGATGCGAACTGCGATCATCCCCTTTCAAAGCCTCAACTTTATTAATTTTGCATCTCTGATTTGCATAACAATGAAAGAACTTTGTATTACAGTCTCCAAACAAATGCCACCTTAATCTAGCCTTTTAAGCCTAAAGAAAGGAGTCTTGAATAATAACTTCTTCCGACTCCTTCCAAAGTTCTTTTTGCCACTCCTAAAAGTAAGCGACGATACAGTCTTTAGCGATAGCATGCGTGATTCCATCTAGTCTTCTCAAAAACCATTTCTTTCATATTTTAGTATAATCAAAAAATTTTTTATTCCAATCCTTGCAAGACTTAGCAAAGTGAGAAATATGATCATTCCACTCTAACTGCGTGCTCCAATTTTTTGTAACCAAATCGTTAAAATTATAATGTAGCACCCAAGAGTCAATAAGACAAAAAGAACATTCTCCTTGCACAAATCAACCCTCCTCGCTTTTAAGCAAGATAGGGGGATGATCAGATTTAAAATTTGGCAAGTGCAAAACATTCATTGACTATATGCGCTGTTTTTAGGAAAAATTTCATAAAAGGAAGGAAGGGAAAAGCTCAAGCATGTCAAAAGAAGGGAATTTTGAAAGTCACATCTCCTCTATCTCGGATAACCAATTGTTTCTTTCAGTTTCTGGTGGAAAACACAAAAATGAGCACATATTTAAGACTTGAGAAGTAGAGTTCCAACTATATCTACGTTGAAGGATGCAGTAATGACATAACTTGAACAATTTCCCAGTCTGAGTATGAGAACATGCAGGAAACAATATTTAAGTTGACTAAGGAGATGAAACAAAATAAGGAAATTATGAGTGTAGTTGTTGAGCACGTTGAAATCAATCCTATTGTTAATTCTCCTTCTCAAGACCCTCTAGATAATGATCCTACACATGGTCAAGCATATGATGTAGGCGACTCTTCTAACAGCAATCATTTGGATGAGGATTTGCAAGCTAATATATGATTACTTTTATTATACCTATGCGTATGTGGAAATATGTTAGTTGACAACTACTTGATACTTGTTATTTTTTTATATGTTTTATGCATGAAGATATATGTTATTCTGATATAGTTTTATGTATCAAAATATGTTGGTTTTAATTGAAAATATGGTTGACAATTTGTTGGTTTATTTTAAATTTTGGTTTTGTGCAAGGTAAAAGGTTTTATCATGAGACAATTGTAGTAAAAAAAATAATAGTTGAAAAAAAAAATACACGGCATTAGCGACAGGTTTAGAGACGCATCTATATTCATCTCTAATATTGTTCATATTTAGAGATGGCCTAAAATCATTTTGAAATAATCCCTATTTAGGGATGAATAATTTTTTGCCTCTAATATAAATTCATTTCAAATGTTTAGAGACAGATTTAGAGACATAAAACTTCCGCCGCTAACATTTTTTACTTTTCTTTTTATCCATTTTGGGCAATAGATAATAAATTTTGTTAGAGACGGTTTATTTTATATTAGCAATGGAACCTTAGCATCTCTATTTAGAGACACACCTTAAAATCTTTATTTAAATATTTAGCAACGTCCCTTTTAAATACGCTTGAAAATCTATCTCTACACAGTTAGACATGAATTTTTACCCACTTAGAGACAAATTTGGAACCCATTTTAAATTGCTCTTTTTTGTAGTTACACTAGCATTAGGAAACAACCTCATCCCTTGTTCATTTGCTAGAAAGCGATCAAGACAGGCCTCACAACTACCACACAGCTACCACGCTTCCAGGTGAAAGGGGGACTAATGAACTCACCCAATGTAAATTAAAGCCTTATTTCATCCACACAGTAAGATAAGTTCTGGAGATGGCAAGAGAATGGCGTTCACTCCCTAACAGAGTTGCATTAAAGTCTCGACTAATTATCCAAGCATCAAGGTGAATTTGACTTTCCAAACAAATCAATTCATGCTACAGCTCCCATCAACACACAACATTTGGACTCGTATATACAATGGTAAGAAACCATTTTCTGTTCCTGAAACTTTCAATCTTTAAAAGAATAAATTGATGATGACGCAAAATTATCTCCACAGCTTTGAATTTATTATCCCACAAGCACCAAATTCCTCCACTAAACTCCTCTGCGTCAACCAAATCAAAGGAAGAAAACCCAAGCTTCTTTAATACACTCACAGCTTTTATATTAGTAGGCCAGGTTCAATAATAGCCAAAAAAATCGAGACTAATGTTTCCTTAAATCATGTACGAGGTTTGAAAAAGACTTTGCCGCTGTACCACGTAAATTCCAAACCATGCAATTCATTAAGAAACAATTTGAGAAAGGACTGCTTGCCCCTTAGAAAGAGAACTAGTGTCTCCATGTTTTCATTATCCTTGGCCATAATGTGTTATACATCCTGGGAATTAATGCTGAAAATTTTGGATTTAACGAGTTCAAGCCCACATGACTTGAATTTGAGTTGAAGAGCACTTGAATTATGTTCCATACCCAAACTCCAGCACTCTTTGGACGGTAGGCCCATCTCAGAATTCTCCTCAACGTCCATTAAAGATGACTTTGACAATAGAAGTGTGCCATCTCTTCCTCAATCCACTAAAGGTCCATCTTGAAGTTCATGTTGTAAGAAATCAACTGGATTAGCATCAACTATGGGCCTCAAACTTAGGCCCAAAACCTTCACCCTTTCTGTTGCTGCTAATTGGGACCCACGCCTTAGGATCACTTGTATTTATAACATGCTCAAAATTTCTAACTCCCATATCCTTTCCAAATTTATATCGCCCCTCATTTCCTTTTTCGACCCTGGCCCTTGAGATTTGTGCCTATTGATCCCACAATCTTATTGCCATGCTGATTCTTTGGCTGATTATTCTTTGCAAATCCCTTTATGTCGACTTGCTTCAAGTGCTTGTGAAAATCACGTTGAACCAAATTCCCCGGCCCAAACTCCATCACCTTTCTTCTAAGCTCCATCATTGCCGTAGCTTCCATTGTCAGAGGCCAACCCTCTGATCATCAGTACTGTCCAACGATTCCTTCCCATCCAACAAAGATGAAGAATTCTAATTTATAGTCCCAGACGACCCCTGCATTAACGGATACTCTGTGGCTTGATGACCATGCCACGATGAAAACAAACATGGTGAAGGTCTTCATAAACAATTATTTGATCTTATGTCTATATCAATACAAATACATGCAGAACCACCTTTATCATAGATAGAAGGTGAGAGATCTATCTTAAGAGACTTTCCAATCATACTTTCAATCATCCACAGTGACTCAACATTATAAAATTCCACAGGTAAATCCGGAATGTGAATCCAAACTGCAATCCGTTTTTGCGTATCTACTTTTCGGGGATTAAAATTTGGTCTCCATCGTTGTACCAAGAGATAGTGGTAATCAATTAATCCAAGGTCCTTCTTGGAAAGCATAATCTCTATCCTCTCCATTCATAAAAGACACAATATGACTATTATTCAAACGTGTAATCTTGACGGCCTCCCTGAGGCTTCTATATGTTAATCCTAACCTCAAGATTCCGCTTCAATATTTGTGCCCCTAGTAACTTATTAATGAGTGAGTTCATCCACAGCTTGCACCAGGTCATATATTCATTAGCTGTGAATTGGAGTTTGGGTATCTTAGACGTCTCATCAGCCAAATCACTACCCTGATCCTTCAAATCCTCTTGGGCATTTTGCTCAGCCTTAGCATTCTTCTTAATGAAGTAAGACTTCCATCCTTAAACAATATCATCCTCTTCATCGTGTTTCATAAGAAAACCAGATCCACTTGGAGACAACAACTTATCTTTGAATGATATAAGTACAGGTCGGCGCCTAACCTTCAACCCTTCAGTCTCTATTTCATTCTCCCCAAACTTCAAATGTTCTTTACCGACCATGAAAACCATGTCAAGCTTATTAAGATCAAACCTAGTACCACCTTTGTCCCCCTCATGATGTCATCCTCCACGATCACTTTTGCAGTCCTTTGGTCCTCCTTCACGCCCTCTCATCTCTGATAATATTCTGGGTTGAATATTCTTGCTTCTAGGTTCGATTTCAATTTCCATTTTTTGCTAGTAGATTATCTTGAATTCTAGTCTGAAGCTTTGACAACACCAATACCACGATCTGGATGATAAGCTTTGAAGAAGAGATTTCTTTTTAAAAACAAAAAACAAAAGAAAATTGACTTAGTTTGCCACGTGTCATGACATGGCATAAAAAGTCAAATAGTTTGGTCCATGTCAGTATTTAATGATCAAACTTAACCTCAGTTAATAACAAGGGCAAGAATGATTTGATTTTGAGAGTTTAAGGGAAAGAATAGACCGAATCTAAGTTTAGAATGTCTCTGAAATTATATTTTAGGGCCAAAAATGAGCATTAACCCTTTATTTAATGATTCTTATTAGGATATCAAGATTATTTGATGAGCCAAAAGTTTCCATTTTATACCATATATTCATATCTACTGATTAGGAATATTGTGTTATAAGCATAAGTTTAAAGAAAGAGTTTATTAGGTGAGACAACTCTTCATACCTATAATCTTCACTCAATTGTGAGGTTCTCTTATGTAGGATTCATAACAATGCTACTCCATTTGAGAGCCAACGTCTTCGACAACTCCACTCCACAATACTTCCCTCAACCTCCTGTTGATTAAGGCCTTTTTTGGATAGCTCTTTCTGTGATACTAGCCTTTCAATGAAAGTATTTCAATGTTATGAGCATAAATTTAAAAGGATAACTCATTTTGAATGACTAGCCTGTTGGGTGAGATGCCCCTTACACTTATAAATTTCACTTAACTTGTAAGGCTTTTCAATGTGAAACTCACAAGATATCCATTAACAAATCTTTGTTTCTTCTTTCTTCTAGATGTTTTCAAAAGGGATAAAGGGCAAATTTGTGGAGATAATCTTTGCACTAATAGATTTGTATTTCAAAAAATAATTTTAATGAGATTGATTTAGTTAGTTTGACAATCAATCAGTATTAAAGTAAGCTCTTCATAATATTTTAAAAATGCCACTGAATCTAAATTCTTAATAAGAAATCCTTTCTTAATGTGATTGATTTAAAATTGTGACGTGACTATATATGATAACTAGATATCTAATGCCAAGTGCTTGCTAATTACTCATCACAGGAATGAATATTGTTGTACTTAGTACTTACCATTGCAGTGTAATTTGGACCTTTCATATCTAATTTGGAATATCTACAATTAAAACTTTTGATTTTGTAATTGTTATATGATAAATTCATTTTTTTAAACTTTTAGTTAATTTTTTTTCTATTTTATATTTGAAATTGTTATAGGATTCAAACTTTCATCTTTCATATCTAATTTGGACGCGGTCCTCGATTTTTTTCTTTTCTTTTTTTTTTCCTTCTTACATTGCAATGTTTAATTTGGACCTCTCATATCTAATTGTAAAGACGCACGAGTATCTATAGTCTAAGATTTTTTAAGAGGTAGTTAAGAAGATAAAAATTTACTGACAATATAAGGATAAAATTAAATAATATTAAATTAGAACCCTCCGTACGTTTTTAATATGGACCGTCCGATTTGTGGTTATGATGCACAAAGTATATTATTTCCTTGCATCCATGAACACACTCATCCGCGCAGTGTCAATTTCTGCATATTGTGCTTTGCTTTAAACAAAAAAAAATAAATAAATAAAAATAAATAAATTCTGCATTTTATGGATGCGGACTCTGTTGAATTAATTAAAGGGAAAATGACAATTATAGACACCATAACAACATTAATTACAATTATAAACATTAAATTATTAAAATTCTAATAATTAACCATAGTCCTTACTTACAATAAAATATCTTTTATTGATTTGTTTGAAATTAACAACTGACTTTTATAAATTATCAACTTACACTACAAAGATTTTCAAATATCTTTTATTAGTTTTTACAGTGATTTATTTATATATTGACA